TTGCCTTGCAACCTCGTAGAATTCAAAGTCTTGCTCCGGGTAGCATAGTCTTCGCCCCGGGATAAATACTAAACAGCACCGAAAGGGGACAAGGAGTGAGGGTACGGGACTTTGCGGAGCTAACCTTGATGAGATGAAACCCAAAAGGAGGCATGTATNAAACACACACGAATGCACAGCGATCCGTGCACAGAAAGCGGTTTGTGTTTGCAGGTTCAGAGGTTTTAAACGGAAAACAAATATGTGTGGATCAAAAATACACATCTAAAACTTTTTTCTGTATTTGGATTTTATTTACATGTATATGAAACGGAACACATTTGTGTGTGCATTGAAAAACACAAGGGTGGACCCGGAAATACAAGTGTGAATCCTTCTGTGTGCATGTGTGTATTATGAGACTGTTCTGAGCCCATAGGTTCCTGTTTAGGTTTCCTTTAACGCTAGCTGCATTCGCCCAGTCGAGATGCAGCAGCCTTGCAGATAGGGCTACATGTTGGGGTTGTTGTCTCCTTTTGTGACATGGTTATGAGTGTGTGTTTGTGTGTGTGGTCACTGCTTGGTTTTTGTGTATGTGGCTTGTGTTTATAGTAGTGTGATATTTCCGGAAGACATCTTAAGTCTTGAGCAGTTTCATTAAATGATCATTATTTGTAGTCACTCACTGATTTAATAAGCTTTAAATGAACAGGCTCATTTTTGAGTTGGAGTGAATCAAATTGTTTTAATCAGTGGAGTGCTCTGTCTCAAATCTGGTTTTGTTTAACAAACTAATGTATTTTCCAGTGTAGTCCACCACAACTGCTACTAGTTGCTAGGACAAAGTAGTAGTAGTAGTAGTAGTAGTAGTAGTATAACCTTTATTTATCCAGGAAAATCAATTAAGAACAACTTCTTATTTGCAATGATGACCTGACAAAAATATGAGTCTCAGGCGATCATGGTCTTTTTTTTCTTCTCTCTGACAACAGGCATGCTTCCTGGCATGGGCCCGCCTTTAGTCTCGATGATGCACCCACAGCTGACTCTATCCGCTCCTGTCTCAATGGCCGGATCAATGCATCTCCCCGAGTGGTCAGAGTACAAAACCGCTGACGGGAAAACATACTACTACAACAACCGAACCCTGGAGTCCACCTGGGAGAAACCCCCCGCCCTGGTGGAGAAAGGTAGGCACTGCAGATGAGAACACAGGCTCGTTCTGTGTTCAGCAGCTATGAATGATATGTAGCATGTTTACTGACCTTATTGATGGACACAACAGCACTTTTAATCATCTCATTATTGGTTCCTCCCCGTCTTCAGAAAAAGAAGCAGAAAGGATCAAAGAGCGTCTGGCCCAAGAGGAAGCGGAGGCCATGGAGATGGAGGACGAAGAGAACAAAATGGAAAACACTAATAATGAGAAGGAGGTATTTTAAAAGTTGATTTACCTACTTAATGACAACAACAACAACACTTAACACATTCAGGTTCCAAAGGGCATTGTTGCTATGGCCTTAATGAAGAACAGTATCATCTCAAAGCATATTGTTAAGGGGTTACATTATTAAGAATTTTTCAGCATGCAAGAAATCTTATAAACTGCACAACATGAATTATACTACATAACTATTATACATATGGTATAATTAAGCAATAGCTCACGACAGGCCGTGATATATGCTCATGCAATATGAAAGAAAAATACACACTCTAATTTAAATAGTTTTTATTAGTAAATAATGATTTTCAAAATAAAATAGTCCCTCCGTTGCCTTCTTCACAAAACATAGTGCAAGGTGGTTGCTATGCAACAACACTAACAGCAAGCAAACATATTAGACAGAGAGCGTTGATCCATTATTTGGCTGTTTATTTACATTCATGTGTATGTTGCTGTTTATTGTGCATCCACTGAAAAACTGTCCAGCATCAGTAGCATGGCTTACGTGGTCACTTGTACAGGTTGAGGTTGTTCGAGGCTGTTGCTTGGCGTGGCGAGAATATTGCTCCACTTTCTCCGGTCCCAGAGATTGGGCTTCCAGTAGCTCTGGAGAGAGCTTTCGCACCTGTGGCCACTAACGGTCATCATTTCTCTGCTTTGTTTCAAGACCCGCATCAGAAAGCTTTTGAATGGTGCTACTTTTCCAGTTGGTCTACCTGCTCTTCACTGAAGAGCAGGTAGACCAACTGGAAAAGTAGCACCATTCAAAAGCTTTCTGATGCGGGTCTTGAAACAAAGCAGAGAAATGATGACCGTTAGTGGCCACNGAAGAGACACAACCGAGACTAGGAGGTCGCCACCAGCCCCGGCCCCTATCCGCCGTCACGTTCGTTGTAAAGACGCCGTCGTAAACGGACTCCAGGTCCACCTGCAAAAGCTCTTCCCTCTCCAGCCTCCAGCAGAGCGGTCGGCCATTTGCAGGTTATGTTGCCTGATGCTCCAGACCTCCTAGGTAGTAAGTGGAGGGAGTGGAGTAACGTCCGATCAAACAGTTTAAAGTGTGTCATACAACTATTGAACTGATAATACCTGAATTCACTGTATGAGTGCATGGCATTAGGCTGTTCAAAGGCATGATAACACATATGTGCTTCAAATGAATGATAAAATAAACTAATCACTATTGAGGGTTTTAAAGTAATATTTCTTGTTTTTAGCAGCTTTTATTGGTCATGATGTCTTTCTGCTGGAATGAGGAGAGTAAATGAGAAACTATAGGGTGTTTGATGCAGTGATGGCCTAGTGTTTTATTGGGAAGTAGACAGATCAGCTGGTTCTTCTGAGTATTTCTCCCACTGGAAAATTCCAGTGCAGGGTTTGAAAGGACATTAAAATGATTTGGCAGAAATCAGGAGTATTCTCCTTCATGCTGACGTTACTGATGCAGGGAATAGACTTTCATTGGACCAAATTATTGTTCTTCCTTTTTTTTATATTTACTTTTTTATTCCTACTTTGCTTAAACAATTAAATAATTATTCATTTAATAATCAATGAAAAATAAAATCCTCTCTAATATGAGAGTCACTTTTGTCTGTTGTATATCATTGTACAAATAGAATATTTGCATTTAAATTTAAACTGCTGATGGGACAATACAACTAAATTGTATAAATACTTTAAAGTCCCAATTCATGTTGCAACTCCTCATACATTACAGGTGTTGCCTTTCCTTTAGAGCAGTGTTTCTCAAACTTTTTCATACCAAGGACCACCAATAACAAAACACTCGCGGACCACCTAACTCCACAAATATCCAAAATCCCATAGTTTTTCTAGAAAATATTTCAAATTGCCTGACAATGGTACAAACACGTGGCAACATGTGTGATGCAGGTGTTGCGCTGGACTATATCATGCAATCGAAAGTGAAACTTAAACTCGCTCCTTTGCGGAGATATTCTTGCGAGAGTGCGGAAAACTTAAATGTATTTATTTATTTCAAATGTGAAATTGTACCAATATACTCACGGACCACTAGGGGGCGCTCACGGAGTACCAGTGGTCCGCGGACCACACTTTGAGAAGCACTGCTTTAGAGTTATGGCTGCGGTTGGTTACTTTGAGACTTGACCTGACTTTAGGTGTAATATTAACTTTTTTCCTAAAACTCTAAGCAGTTGCAACATTTTTTTTACAGTGCAAACGAAGAGGATTTGATGCCATTGCCTATAAAAAACCTTTATTTCCAGCCAAGTAGCACCCTCCATTGATAGGTATGTTTTGGTGAACTGTGATGATGGGAGGTGAAGAAGGGGTTGTGTAATTATGAGAGGAAGTAGGGGGGGGGCTTGAACTCATAAGGTTCATCTTTCTCTAACTTAGTCTTAACAGTCTTTAAAGCACATTTTGATGTGACGTATCTTCATGACACATTTTTATTTTATGTTGACTAAATAAAGCCTCTTTTTCATAACTGGATCTGGCATTGTCTTTTTATGTATGTTAAACACATTGTTTGTCATTGAAATGTTAATATAGCTATAGGATCAAACATGATCTACCAAGCTACCTACAGCTGTAGCTACGCTAATTTTATTGTACGCAATAACCGCACGATTCATATCTCTCGTTTAGAGTAGCATGTAACCCTCCCAATGCAGCTAACATTAGCTCAATTCAACGGATGCTATGATGTTTAACACATTACTTTCTTGCCTATTTTAGAAGGCGGAGCTCCGTCCACATGGTCGGATCCCGCCGGGTCTCCGACAACCGAGCAGGCGGACAGCAGGACGAGGATCAGCGGGAGCAGAGGGCCGTCCATAGTTGCTCCGGAGCTGAGATACCCGGGAGGAGAGGAGGCGAGGAGCGGATACGGAGCAGCGACAGTTAACACATCAGGGTCAAAGTTAGCTCCTAATAGGTTTTATCTTTCCTTTACACCAAAAGTTTGTTTAGAATCAGACAGTGTACATTTATCTTTGTGGCTAAATAAGCTTTAAGTGTGATAGTGCACAAAAGATGGCTTTATCATTGTCATGACGATGCAGATCCATTCTCCAATAAACGGGCGCTTTTACACACGTACAGAAATATCACGTGATCCGAAAGTGGCTTATTTCGACCAATCACAGCCAGGCATAGTAACTCCACAGCAGAGTCAGAGATAAATTGACCTATTCATTGCATCTCTCTAGGGCTTTGCTCCGCAGCAGACAATTGAGTTACGTACTTCACGTAATGTCACTGCAACAACATGGTTTTATAACGCAGCGTTGACACAGGATTGGAAAATGTAAAAGTAGTTCCAAAACATGATACAGCATAAATGGTTCATAGACAGCATCAAATAGCCCTGTAAATCTTTACAACAGTAAAATGCAGCAGTATTTTTAATCCAACATAATTTATAATAATACACTAAGGACAATTTAGGCAACATTTGTAGTTAATATACACATTCTAATTAAGGAAAGAACTTGAATGCATAATATTGACTTCTAGTAGAACAATTTCTGTGTCTGAATACCCAAGATAATATGCAACGAAAACAGAAAATCAGGACAATAAATTGAAAAAAACAGTGGAAGTTGCCTTTATTTCATTCAACAGAGAAATTGCTGCAACATCGGAGTAAACCACTGAGCAGAAACTAACATTCACACTGAGCTGCTGAAACAATGACTGGCAAAGTGGAGCAGTAAGGCTTAAGGACGCCTCAGTCACATGCACACACACGCACTCATGCACACACCACACAGACGCGCACACTCACTCATTCTCACTAATTTTCCTTTACATCCGTTATCTTACACCTCTCTGTGGCTGCTTGTGCAGCAGCCTTATCAGTATTCCTCTCCCTCTAATGTGGTCAGCCAGAGACGAGGGCTCAAGGGTCACCATCAGATCAGGTGACCTCAGTTTCCTGCCTTAGCTGCAGGGCAATTTCAGGGCTAAGAGGTGACATTACACAGAGACCTTAACCGTTCATCTCTATGGTACATCTCCAAGCGACATGAGCCCCAGCCATAACACTGTGAGGCCAGCCGTGGGCCTGAAGGGCGGGGAGATCAGGGGGGAGTTCAGGGGAGATCATGCTCTGGCCAAAGGGAAGGCGAGGAGGAATAGGACCCGGCCAAGAAGATGATGTGATTGGTCACTTGGTGGAGCGTCGGGTGGGCTCAGAGGCAGTAGGGGGAGGAGGCGGGCCACGGCGGTCCAGGTCTTCGATGTAGAACATGACGAGTTTCCTGCGCTCCTCGGGTACACACTCCAGAACGAGGTACCGCTTATCGTTCTGAAGAACCTTCTCCACATCCTTCAGGTGCTGCTCTGACTCCTGGATCAGCTTTCTCGACCTGAGGGAGGAGAGGAGGTGAGACATGGGTAAGGCACAGGATGGTCATACTATCCTCTGTGAGATTCAAGGACAACAACTGCTGTTCTGATTTAAAGGGGACCTATCATGCAAAATGCACTTTTGGATGTCTTTTATACATAAATATGTGTCCCTGCTGTGTCAGGGAACTCACGCAGCGTCAGAAAATAAAACCCACTCTCTTTTCCTCTTTCCTCCGTAACCACATCTCTAAAAACTGGGGGTCCAACGGAGCTGATCCAGATTTGCGTCCGATATGACGTAATATCAGAAATGTGGACCCACGGCACTATCAGAAACGTTACTATCAGGAACAATGCCCGACTGTTTTGGACGTAATATGGTCGGTGCATGTTTACATTAGCATTGCTAACACTCAGAGCTAACCTGTACTGGAGAGCATGTGTGTGAAGAAGCAGGAAATAAAAAAGGAACTCACCTTGTGGTATAACCGGCAAGAGAGAAAGCCTTTGAGCTCCATACTGTTTCAGAAATAATCCTTGATAATCCATGATATGGCGTTTCATCACGGCAGTATTTAGTTTAGACAGTAGCTGCCGGGTCCCGCATGAGCTCAGCCCCCTCCTTTTTTATTTGTTATCCATTTTTAAAGCTTTATACCCAAAATCAGCACTTTTGAAAATAGAGGGATATGAGGCATGGCTAGAATGGGTGATCTGTTTGGTATTTTGAGCAAAACACTTCATAGACATGTTTTTTATATTTGTTATATATCTGAGACCTATGATAGGTGCACTTTAAGTTAAAGTCTCTCCTTTAGAAACAATTTAGTATAGTGAGACTTTGCTAAACTACACAATAATTTTTAAATATTTGGATTGGCTAACGGTAAAAAAAAAATGTACACAGTCTATAAGTAACACAATATTTGTATCACCATCACATCCTGTGCCATCTACATGTCTGCAGCTTATCTTGACTTGCCTCGAAAGTTTCTTCTCAGAGAATTTTACAATACTTACAAAAGTTCAAAATCAAGAGAAAGGATACACTTGTTTATTAATAGAAACCACTCCTAAGGGAATGAAAACATGATGAACTATGATAAGTGGAGTTCCTGAATACTTTGAATGTACAAGACTAAAAATATTCAAAGGCTTTATTTCATTTGCACAATAGCTACAGCATAGTTTTGGCAATGAAAATCTTAAGTCCCAGGCTCTTTTACAAATGTAACAGATAGAGTTCTCTTCTGTCATTGTCTTTCAAACTATGCTGACATTGAGGAAATAGAAGTTGTAATATTTGAAATCATCTTCTTTTGGGGCCAAAAACGATTTCAAATGTAGACGATACATGTCCAACTAAATATTTGTAATATTCTTAGAGGCACTGTTTTCATTTTGCATATCTAGTATGTAAGAGGAAGTGTACTGACCTGTATGTGATGAACTTTGTCTCCTTCAGCAGAGTTCTGAAGTCAGCTTTGGCTGTGATGTACTTGTCTTTGATGTAGTCTTCAAACTCCCGCTGTCTCTTCTGCAAACACAGATTAAAAACGTCAGACATCAAAACTCACATAGATCACAACATTACAAGTTTAGGACATAAATATCAACCTCTCTGTTGATCAATTCAGAGAAGGGGTTTGGATTTGATGAACCATGACAGGAAGAGTTTGATGTTTTCTACTTTCTTATTGTGCAGTGTAACTACACAGTATGTCTTGACCTGTCACTAGATTCAAAACACTAGTATATTTTGTAATTGTTGTCAAGTGACTTTTATACTTCCATTTAAGAATTCACGAAGCATAGTAATGTAAGTCTTACTCTGTCACTGGAGGAGAATTTAATACAGCGAGGGTCCTCCTTGATAATCTTCTTCACCTCCTTCCATGTGGTTGTCAGTGTGATCTACAACACAAACAAATTAATGATATATTACATGTAATAACAATATACATTCTTTTCACTGGTAATATTAGCTCATTAAAGAAGACAAGTTTGATTGCTGTTGGCACCTTTTTACTCCTCACCATGCTGGTCTCATCGAGTAGCTGCCGGAAATGTTCTTTCTTTTTCTTGGCCAGTGCTTCTACGTGTTCGTTAAACAGCTTCTCCTTCTCCTCTCGCTCCAGCAGTGACGCCGACTCCCAGCGATGGTCTTTCCGTAGATTCCGACGTGTGTCTGACCATGCTGCATCTGAAGACCGTACCTTAAGAAGGATTACAAAAACACTATTAAGGCAAGTCCGAAAGTAAATACTTGTTGGCTTAAGTTTTATACTGAATTTGAAACAAATCTTTTTAAATTGGAAAACTCCTTTCTGGTCTTCTACATCAAACATATTAAAACAAAATACTTAATTGGAATAGTGGAGCTGCAATTTAAAATGGCTTAAGCACCCCCTTTTTTATATCTCTAATAAAGAACAAACCATGCTCTGTTATCTTTATTTACATTTTGAAATGCTGAAAAGATGGATGATTCTGTAAATATATATATTAAAAAAGATTACTGTACACTGCTGCTGTGATTCCAAATAAAGTGAACTATTTTAATAAAAAATAAAGGGGGTATTGTGCTCCTGTGAACAGACTTTAGAAAGTGATCTTAAAGATTCTATATCTTCGGCCAATCTATTTTTCTTAGAAGATCTTGTTAAACTCGATATAGGATGATGCACATAGATTAGTAATTACAAACAATTATAATTTGATTAATATATTTTAAACACATTAAAGCAACTTTCATGAGGAAGTTTAAAAGCTGCAGGGCCTCTCACCATATCAGACATGAGCGCTTTGAAATGCTGGATGGCCTCCTCCCTCTTGTGCTGCTCCCTCTCCCGGTCGATCTCTTTGGTCTGCTCTGAGCGAGCTTTCTGCACCTCCCGCTCCCTCTCTCTGAGGCTGACCTCGATACGAGCCTGCCGCTCCAACTCTCGCTCCTTATCCACGTCCACGCACTGTGGAGGAGAAACACGTGTCAGATCTGTTTTTCAGGTGATGTCGACAATGAGAACTATGCCTCGTAATAGAGCTGTAGACCGGGTTCATACACTTTTTCACCAATGATTTTCCATGACTTCTCCGTGACCTTTACCTGATTTTCCATGACCAAAAAAAAAAAATAGACTCTTTCTCAGCGGTACCACTGAAAATTGTTTATAACATGGAACAGGAAAATAAGGTCTGCATATGAAACATGTTGTAAAACAAATGACTTACAGTATTTATTATTATAGTATTACTATTTCGGCGATTAGATAAAATATAAATTATATTTGATGCAACTTTAGTTACATTTTCATGATTTTTCCAAAAAATAAATAAATATTGTTTTCCATAACTTTTCCAGAGCCTGAAATTAGCATTTTGAAATGTCCATGACTTTTCCAGGTTTTTAATGACCGTATGAACCCTGTGGAGACTACCTGTCAATCACACGTACTTGGTGTAGCAGTTATTTTCCACACAGAAAAGCCATGCTCCTACCTTGGCTTGTTTGTCCATGTACTGTTTGAACAGTTCTTCTCTGAGTGCAGAGCTCTCCACACCCTTGTATCGTGGGTCAGTTTCGAGCCTCTCTTTTAATTTGCTCCACCGCTGGCCTCCCTCTATGTGCTGCTCACTTAGGAGATCGAAGAAGTCCAGCTTCACCTGTGAGCACACGCAAACACACAAGAAATTAGGAATCTCTCAGACAACAAATGATCAGCAGGAGGGCAGAGCCCCTGCAGATAGACCTGTAGGTGTGATGTTTGTAAAGAATGATTAATATGACACTGATGTAAATGTGAGCGAGTGATACCTTCTCTCCTCTGGACTTGGAGTCCTCTTTCTCTCTCTTCCTCAGAGCAGTGATGAACTCGACGAAGATGGCCTCCCTGTCCTTCATCTTCTCTATGGTCTTAAACCGCGGGTCCCGGCCGTGCTTTACTGCAAATTCACTAAACGTTGTTCTGTAAAGATAGGAAAATCAAATAAATCAGTGTCAACTTGTGTGAACAGTTTAAATAACAGTTACAATTATTTCTTTAAATAATCTCTTCACAACAAAATATCAAATTATTATTAACTACTAATAATATATCAGGATGTGAAATATTGCTGGCATTCACCAAATAGCGGAAATGGTTTAGCTACTGTTTAAAAGTTATATACAGTGGGGCAAAAAAGTATTTAGTCAGCCACCAATTGTGCAAGTTCTCCCACTTAAAAAGATGAGAGGCCTGTAATTTTCATTCTAGGTATACCTCAACTATGAGAGACAAAATGAGAAGAAAAAAAAATCCAGAAAATCACATTGTCTGTTTTGTTAAAGAATTTATTTGCAAATTATGGTGTAAAATAAGTATTTGGTCACCTACAAACAAACAAGATTTCTTGCTCTCACAGACCTGTAACTTCTTCTTTAAGAGCCTCCTCTGTCCTCCACTTGTTAACTGTATTAATGGCACCTGTTTGAACTCGTTATCAGTATAAAAGACACCTGTCCACAACCTCAAACAGTCACACTCCAAACTCCACTATGGCCAAGACCAAAGAGCTGTCAAAGGACACCAGAAACAAAATTGTAGACCTGCACCAGGCTGGGAAGACTAAATCTGCAATAGGTAAGCAGCTTGGTGTGAAGAAATCAACTGTGGGAGCAATTATTAGAAAATGGAAAACATACAAGACCACTGATAATCTCCCTCGATCTGGGGCTCCACGCAAGATCTCACCCCGTGGGGTCAAAATGATCACAAGAACGGTGAGCAAAAATCCCAGAACCACACGGGGGGACCTAGTCAATGACCTGCAGAGAGCTGGGACCAAAGTAACAAAGGCTACCATCAGTAACACACTACGCCGCCAGGGACTCAAATCCTGCAGTGCCAGACGTGTCCCCCTGCTTAAGCCACTACATGTCCAGGCCCGTCTGAAGTTTACTAGAG